GGTCAACTTTTGGCCATTTTCAGCTCCTGTCACATAACATTTATGTGAAACTTTCTCTATTTTCCTACCTTCAGTGTCTATATTATCATCAACAATCCCTCTTATGTGGCTTGGCAGGTTATACTGACATGCTTGAGGAAAGATGGATGGAATTTTCAATCACAGTATTGAATGCTTATGTGAGCTTTTTTTCTGGGTCAGAAATAGCTCTGGAATGGTATCTTCTAGATTTTAGATATTGCTGCACTGTTGGAGCAACTCAGGGGCAGCAAGTTATTGGCAGACTCACTGGCATCTAGGAAACATGTTGCCTAGACTTTGGTTCTGAGAGAACAAGAGTAAGCAAGTCTCTTGCTCTCAGTTTAGAATAAGCTCCACAGAAGGGCTTTCATGGAATTTTAAGAAGGCAGGTACGATCTGATAAAGTATTAAGATAAAAGAAGGGAAATAGTTCCAAATATAAAAAGGTCTGTTGTTCGTAGATGTAGGAGAGGAAATGAGAGACCTTAAGAGAGAACAGAAACTCAAAGTGAGCAAGACAATGAGAAAGGGAAGTAGAGATGGGAATCCAGAACCAGAAGAACCCTATGTGCTCAGAAGTGAAACCAGGAGGTCCCGACTATACCAGTTGTCAATGTGGGTTGCTAGATGTCTGAAATCTCAAAGGATTTTCTAATGCCTTGTTAGTGACGCCCTACATGAATAAATTAACTGAAAATTGTAACAATTCACTGTGTTTGTTGCTAATAACCATAGTAAACACATCGAATTGTGAATTGAACAGTTCCCTCACACCTTTGGCATTTATATACTCTGATATCTGTAAACACTGGTCAAGCTGCCTCTCAACTCTATCACTGTCTGATCAAGCTGCAGGTTTAATTTTCTCTCTTCAAAACATTAATCCAGCTGGTTAAATCATTTCCTTTACTTTCTGTACCTCTAGCCAATTTGTTCATTTCTGGAAAAACTGGCACCACATTATTCTGGCTGCAGACTCAAGGTTGTATTTACAATTAATATTTATTGAGTGCTAACTGGGTACTTGGCCCTGCATTTAGGCACTGAAAAGAGTTCCAGTTGCCACTGATTTATGTAGATACTGCCATGGCATCCAGGCAGCTGTGTTCTCCCCACTGCCTTATATTCTCACTGTTAATTTATCTCTCTTGACAGTGGAATACAGAACTTCAACACGGGAACATTTGTATTAAGAACTAAAAGCAGATATTCTTTTACTTACCCATCAGAAGTTTCTCTCAATTCAAATATTATTTTTATTATAGTAAAATAGTAAAATAGACAATTATATCGTCTTGATGTTAAGAAGTTATCATGTATAATCTCGAAGTGCTTTCAACAAACATTATATGAACCTGAAAATTCCAAAAGCAAATTATCAAATTACCTTGGCCCTATGTCCCTGTTTATATGAAAATGTTGGATGGGAGAAAATATTTTCTGTATTTCTCTGACTCAGTTTCTCCAGTATGAGTGAGAACAGGCCAGGACAGGTTTGAACAAACACAGCTTTATTTATTCACCTTGGAGTAAGAGTATCAACACCTATACAGAACAGTATCCCTTAGTTCATTTTCTCCCCACCATTTCAGAAAAATAGCTGTATGTTCTTTCATGGCAGACACATTCTTTTATAGTGTTATCAAATACATCATAAACACTTCTAAAAAATGGTGTCCACTACCTAGAATTCTCTAGACTTTGCCCATATCTTTCATGTAAAGTACAAAGCATTTCTCATTTGTCTAACATGTCCACTTGCATGAAAACATCAGAGGTGTTTTCAAGTACTGCTTATAAGGGAACTACTTCAATGGGTCTCATTTCTGTTCTTGTCTGCAAGTTTCTGGCCTGTTTCATTTTGAAGAGAAAAAAAAAGATACATTAACACTTTAAAGGCTAGGCAACATAGTAGCCTGTCTTTGACGAATATAAGTCATTAAGTACCGAATTAAGTATCCAACCCTAATTATCACAACAGAGATGTGTGAGTAGAGAGGTGTCAATTATTAATTTAAAATTTTGTTTGTATTTTTTTCCTTGTGTGTTTTGCCAAGTTCCTGGAGTAAGAAATATGAGAAAAGCCACATTTCTAAGGAAGACAAGTTAGAGAAGCAAGGCCTTAGGACAGGGACCCAGCTGGCACAAGGAAGAAGCTGAACAGAAGTTCGCAAGCTAGCCTCTCACTTAACCAGCCTCCACCATCATGCTCTCTCTCCAGACAAAAGTTTTTGCACATGCTTTGTCCTCCTGTTTTTTGCAACTACTTTTTTGGCCCATAAAGTTGGGAATATTCAGGGGGAGGAGGAATTTCTGCTACAATGCAGTACATACATTACTAAAAAACAAAAACAAAAAAAAACCAAAATCCTTTGTCATGAAAATTACATATAAAAAGTAACAGGGTTTCACTGTGGTTGGGGATGGGAGGAAAAAGGGTGTGGCTTCAAACTCTAACCAACTTTATAACTAGAGCATGTAAAAATATGTGTCAGAGGGGGTGATTTAGACCTCCCTGCAAAGTTGGAGATTGTCACAGTGGATGTTTAACAATGTACAAAAACAAGAGTGAAAATGCTAGCAACTTTTAATTAAAGGATGATGGACAAGGCAGATGAAAGTAAGCTCTGCACCAGAGGGTCTGTACCTGAGGGAATGGAGCAGCCGAAGAGCCAGAGCCTCATACAGTTGGGATGAAGTGGAAGCACTCATTTCTAATTTTATCAAAACATGGCTGGACAGGCCTCTGCTGCTCTGCCTACGCAGCAGCTAAATTGAAGGAGAACAGAATAAGCTCTCCTTTCCACTGGAAGACTGTAATTCTACCACTCTTCTAGCTCCTCTTACCTGGATAACATCTCTCCTGAACGAACATGACTTCTACATTTTTCTGATATCATTCCCTATTCGCCAATCATAGATGAACCAATTCCTGTTACAGAGACATACTTTGTAGCTGAATAAACTCTACAGATGTACTTAGCATCTCTGAGGATGGACTCCCAGGCCAGGGCTACTGGCACACACAGGATAAGGGAGGAAGAGAATACAGATTTTTTTTTTTAACTTTTTATTACACAGTAAAGAATACAACAATACCTGAATCATACTTTAAAGATTCACAGGTTGACAGACCATACATTACAGTCCAACTAAGGAAAAAAGGATAAACAAGAAACCACAGTTCAGACATAGTAGACTTAAAAGCTCAAGAGTATGCTGACAAAAGCATGATGCCTAGATCCCACCCCCCCAGTGTTAGTCTACCATTAACTTGTGGTACATGTCTGAATTAAGTATTGCACAACGACTTTAATTTTCACAATAATGTCGCAGAACCCAAAATAATATTTTAAAAAATTACTTCAAATCTGGATTTCAACAGTCTCCAATTTTTTTCTGTCCCTTGAGGAAATCGGACA